AAAATATAAATATATGTATAAATACTAAGGAAAATACAGAGTAAAATATAAATCTATGCAAGAAATACTGAGAGAAAAAAAAAGTGAAAAAATATAATGGCTCCTATCAATTAACTGCAGGTGATCAACGTAATTATATAACCCAAAAATTCTTACTACAAGCTTGTGAAAGTTTGAATTTGTAGTAGGTGGTGGAATAGGAGTTGTTTGAAGGAGTTTATAAATGTGGTTTGACGTATGGAGATGGGCAAGGAGTTACAGAAGGAGTTAGCATGAATGACGAAGGATTTGCTGAAGGAAGAGGCTTTATAGGAGGGGATATATAAATCTATAGGTTAAGATCCGGTGTGGAGAGAGTGGATAAAGGAGCTTAAAATAAGGAGTTCTAAGATGTAAAGAGGGTTTTTGGTTCTGGGAACTTGGAATAGGAAAACACCAAGAAGGAATTACTGTAAGGAAGTAGGACTAAGTCACTTCAACTCGGTGTACAAACAGGAGACATGAAAACATCTGAGAATCCCAAAGGTGATTCTTATGAAGCAATTCATAAGTTTCGTGGGGGGGATGGCCGAATGGGCTAACGTGTGTGCACAGCACTGCCGTTGCCCAGCAACCTGATCTATGACACAATGGTTTTAAAATAGTCACGAGTTCACCTCCTGGTGCTGGGAGAGTCTTTCAAATCCCCGCCCACACCCCCTGGCCCGGAGAAAACCCTGTATAGCCTTAGAGGCAAGGAAGGGGATAGCCTTGGTTTTATCTGCATTCAGCTTCAGTTTATTTTTTTCTGACCATCTGTGGATACACTCAATGGCAGAAGAAGGAAGAAAAGAAATAGAGATGGCCCTAGGAGAGTTAGAGCCCTCTGATATGAACGTATATGAAGCACTGGAAGAATTAAAAAATTTTAAAGCACCGAGACCAGATTGACTCCCTGCAGAACTATTTAAGTATGGAGGGGAAGAATTAGTGAAGTTCTTCTAAAATATAATAATGGAAGATCGACAAAATCCCTTGTGTATGGTACAAAGCAGTTATATGCCCGATTTACAAGAAGGGGGATGTGCTTGATTGTGATAATTATCGCGGTATATTTCTCTTATCATGTGTTTATAAAGTGTTCTGTTGGATACTTTATAAAAAACTGCTTCCTTTTGCTGAGCAGAATATACAAAATTACTAGATAAGCTTTATGAGAGAAAAATCTACCACAGATCAGATATTCTCCTTCAGAAGTATTTTGGAAAGGTGCAGAGAGTATAATATCTACACACACCACTAGTTCATCGACTTTCAATGACCTTTAATAGTGTAAAGAGAAACGAGTTGTACCAGGAGCTTTTAGAAATGGGAATACCACTGAAGCTGATACGTCTGGTTAGGGCTAGGATGAAGAAGTTGCAATGCACAGTGCGTATTCAGAGGATTGTCTCCCGTGCCTTCTCTTCTATTTGTCCCTCGAAAGTGCGGTACGGAAATCTGGAATACAATTTGGGGGAACTATATTCTATAGATTTTCTATGAATTTGGCCATCAGCGATGACTTAGATATTATTGGAAGAACCCCTACAGATTTATAAAACGCTTTTACCAGTTTACAGATAACTGCAGCTAGAGTGAGTTTAGAGATTGATGAATCAATTATTAGATTGAATTAGATAATCCTTACCTCTATCAGGTTATTTTCTTTACATTTCAGGATAATAATCCCAATTAGTTTGTATTTTTCTTGATCAGATAACATGGAGTGGGGTGATAAAGAAAACTGAATAGCTTTGATCGCCTTACACAAAGTTGGAAAATGTAGGTCAGAGATTTTCAACACTTTGGGTATAAGCCTGGTATACTGCACTATAAATAGATATAATGAGACCCTATCTGTATGTGACAGGGCCAATATATCCCCGCTCTGTAAAAATGGCAAATGCAGTGAGAGCAGCAGCTGCTCGAATCAGAACAAATCACATTCGAAAACACCAAATCATGTCTCAGGAAATGGAAATCTCTGTCAGATCAATGTCTCACATGATATAAAGTGACCTTAGGATGGGTGCATTTTGAAGAATGACAGGACAAAGGCTAACCACTTCCCTACAAAAAAATTAGAGTAGATAGATGCAAAGTGCTCATTGGCCGTTACAACAATGGTCTTCATCGAAAGATTTTGTTTAGAGATGAGAAAATTTTCACAATTGAAGAAACATTTAATCGCCAAAATGATCGTGTATGCACACAGCTCTAAAGATGCCCAGGAAGTCATTGGAAGAGTGGAAAGAGGAAGTATTTGGGTTTGCTAGCAGGATTCCGCTGCAGCTCACTTTTTCACATTTTTGTGAAAAAGGAGTTAAAATAGCCGCTATCAGGACAATATTTTGAAACCTGTTGTCAAGCCTCTAAATGATACTCAGTTTGCTGGAAGTATTTGGGTTTGCTAGCAGGATTCCGCTGCAGCTCGCAAGGCCAGGTCAACTCAGCAGTGGCTGCAAAAGAACAGTCCAGAGTTCATCTCTGCCTCGGATTGGCCGTAAGGAAGCTCTGATCTCAACCCACTAGATTATCAGCTTTGGTCCAAATTGGAGAGGATGGCATGCCACAGTGCACACCATAATTTGGAAAGCCTCAAACAATCTCTGTTCCGAGCTGTTTAGCTGTTTCCTCATGAAGTGCTGCGTGCTGCTATTAATGACTTGCCACGGAGTATAAATGCATTTGTCAAGGAAAAAGAGAGACATTTTGAGTAATTTCTGCTTTAGTTTCCTCTCTATAGATAAACATTTTATTTTATTTTTTATTATTTATTTTTCTTTATTTTCTTTTTTTTTTTATAGATAAACATTTTATTTTATTAAGTTTTTGAAAAAATCATTTTTCTGTTGAAATCTGTATGTATTTCCTTATAACAATATTTATGACAGGATTAGGTATTGAAGAGAATTTATGGCCCAGTTAACGTCAATGAAATCTGGAGGATGAGGATCAATGCTGAGCTAAAAAGACTCTACAAGAGTTCAGATATTGTAAGGATGATTAACCTAAGCCGGCTTCGATGGGCAGGTCATTTAATTAGAATGGCTCAGGATCAGATTCCTACGATCATCCTAGACGAAAGGATTAATGGGACAAGAAGAGTGGTTCCGGTGGATGGATGGAGTCACAGCGGATACCATGTCCATCTTGGGAATCTGCAATTTGAGTGCAGCGGCAACCGATATAGAAGATTGGTGGACCAAGCAGGAGGAGGCCTTGACTCTACAAGAGTACCACCACGGACAATGATACCCTTCTATTTATCATGTTTTTGTTGGAGAAATTTATTCTGTGCTGCCATTTCAATTAAAATGGATCTCTCCAAAAACCAATTAGGCCATGTTATGCTTTGGAGATTCGATAAAGGAGAAAATACTGCTTCAATTTATCAGAAACTTGCATAAATATATGGCAAAAACGTCATTAGTGAATGGTATTGCTGTAGTAGTAGAAAAAACATTGAGAATAGAAGCGAGAGATGGACTTCAGCCAAAAAAAAAATAATGTCTGTTTGGTGGGATATGGAAGGAATCCTTCATCATGAATTCCTTGTTCTTAACCGAACTATCGCTAAAGGTCTCTACTGTGATCAACTGGAACGATTAAAATGGGTAATTGAAGAAAAATGTCCCTCACTTGTCAATAGAATTGGCATTTTATTCCATCATGACCATGTGAGGACTCATTTTGCAAAAATTTAAGGACTTTGGAAGGGAAATTATTCCTCATCCACCATGTTCTCCTGACTTAGCCCCTTCAGATTATCGCCTTTTTCGCAGTCTCAAAAACTTTAATTCAAAACCAAAGAATTTTTTCAGAAAAGGTAAGAAAAATTTGATTTCAATATGGCAAATTGTTATAGAAGATGTTAAACACATTTTAGATTGAATATGTTTCCTTGATATTATCCCACTCCTTATATCATGCAATTAATTTCTGGGATGACCTGGTATATTGAGTAATGTTTACTGGTGGGAAAGGTATGTTTATAACCTTAGATACTTTACTTTAGTTTAATAATTTGATAATAGAGTACTAACTGAGTAGAAATTAATATTCACTTTAAATAGATTGGTAAGTGAAAGCTTTGTGATGCATGCACCAGATTTTTAATCTTCTTACCATTAAAAATATATTGCTAAGCTAATGGGTGATTTTATAGTTTTTTTAATGAAATTAAAAAAGTATTTTCTACAATCATGAAAAGTAAATATATTATTTGATTAAAAAAACAAATTGATTGTTTAGTAATTTAGGAATAGAAACATGTATCATGTTTCCATTTTTGTTTCATCTTTTGTTTTTGTTTTTTTTGTATAAATATTGTAAATCAAACTAAAATTATTATTTGTGTATGTTTAAGGTGTATGCAGATTTTTTTTACTCCACTTTTTAAATTTTTTATTGTATTTTATTATTAGAATGGTATTTAAAAAAAAGCTTGAACAAATACAATATACCTACACATTTTCTAGAGAATTGGATTCTGAATAAACTTGATTTTAAGCGTTCTGATCATGAGTAACATGGTTCATGATATATAAGCCCTTTTCTATGGGAAAAAATAATTGACTGAATTAATTTGCAAAAATTTACCATTATTCTAGCTAGATTATATCGAAAACTATTAGACATAAAATAAATGAAAAGAAGGCCTTTTTAGTAGTGTTATAATGTTCTTTTATTTTAAATAATTGGAGAAACATTGAACATTTTTTTTTTTGCTAAGATTTATCATTTTTGAGTTATTAAAAAAAAAAGACATACTTTCTGCAGTTTTATAATTTCTAATTCTAGCTCACTTCCTATTAATTGGGACTTTTAATATTAATTTTACTAGATATCACTGAATACATGCAAACATAACAAAAAATATCAGATTTAATTTGAATAAACTAATACATTAAAGTGTTATACAAATTCTAAATATAAAAAATTAAAAGACAACTCTGTAAAATAAGAAATTTATGTAGGTAACTGTCGTTGGAGACTCAAAGGTCATTCCTCAGCTCCAGACTACTTGCGACTTTCTCCTTCAGGATCAATACTGTTGTCTCGATCGACATTATCTGACACAGCTCTTCGTCTTTGGAATCTTTCTGATGGTAATATGGTTTTACCATTCTGATATATGATTTTCTTTCTCTTTACACAGACACATATATAAATAATTTTTAACAGGTGGACTCCTAGCTGTATTCAGTCCTGATTGCCCTCTTAAGGCTTCTGATCTTACAGACACCTATGTAATTCTCTCTCTAGACTCAGGAAAGCGATTCACTAGTCTTCAGCTCCAGGGCCCTGGTTATACATTTAGAGCAAGTGAGTTAATTTGTTTTATAAATTAATATTATTTCTTCTGGGTTTGATAAATATGAAAGACTTTTTCACACATTATATAATTATCCAAAACATTTTGGCTACTACTATCACCATAAGGGGTGCCCAGAAGGGGATTTCCTGATGCCATCAAAATTATTGAGGGAGGCAGAGTTTGATGAGGTTTTTAATTTTTGAGGGGAGCACATTTCAAAGGGGTTGCACATTTTTGGAATGAAAAGTTTCAAACCAGGGAAATAGGGGGAAAACATAGAACAATCTCTATGAAGTGTAATTATAACAAACTACAATTTTTTTTTATGCTTTTTTTAGGAGGTGAGAATAATATAATGTCTTGGAAGGGGAGGAGGAGATTTATCCACCATCAAGTTTTGTTATGGGAGGGATAGACACCCCTGATCACCATACTTATTTTTATAACACTTTAATTAATGATTAAAAACCTAACCAAAACTTTTGCAATGGTGTAGAGATGGTTGACCGTTATTGTAATTTGAGAAGAAGTTGGTCGGAGGCGCGGTCAAATTTAATACTATATATTATAATAGTTTCTACGATATATTGTAATAGGTTACTATATATTATAATTATAATACTATATATTATAATACTACTTATTATAATAACTATATATTATAATACGATTACTATATATTATAATAGGTTCTACGATAACTAGAAAAAACTAAATTGAAGAAGAGATTAAGTTAGACTAAGGCGGGAAATGCTTGTTATTTTTCTGTGATAAAACTACTTAGTTCGCGCCTCTTATCCCGGAACTTAAAAATTAGAATCTATAAAACAATTATCTTGCCTACAGTTCTTTATGGATGCGAAACTTGGCCGCTTACATTAAGGGATGAGCAGCGTCTTAAGGTTTTTGAAAATAAAGTATTGCGTAGAATATTCGGACCGAAGAAGGATGAGTTAACCGGAGAGTTCAGACGGTTACACAACGCCGAATTGCGTGAACTGTATCCGGGTAATATAATTGAGGTAATTTCATCGCGGCGAATCAAATGGGCTTGTAAAGTTGTTGGGCTTAGTAACGAGAGAATTCCTAAAAGGTTAATATTTGCTGTGCCGAATGGTAAGCGTCCGAGGGGTAGACCGAAGCGAAGGTGGGAAGATTGCATTAAAGCCGATTGAAGGGACTGGGTTTGGACGGCGAACGGTGGAGGGAGGTGTGTAACAAGCGATTGGTGGTGTCGGCACCGAACCTTCGGGTTCGCTAAGCCTTTTATTGTTGTTGTATTATAATAGTATTTTATTGAATAACTGACGTTTCGCCCCCATTGTGGGTCTTTATGAGGGCTATAAAAGATACAAACTATAAATATAAATTGGTTCAAGGTAAACAAATAAAATAAATGAATTATCAGGAGATATTAAACAAGTACAAGTTATCTGATAATGAAATTAAAGAATTTATAAGATGATATCAGTGGTGTAGTGAGTTATAGAATATTTAGAATACAAAGTATTATATATATATTTATATATAATAGAAAATATAACTAAAAGAAATTTTTTAAAATCTTTTTTATTGAGGAATATTACAATCTGTCTCAATTAAGGACACTTATAATAGAGTTCAGAGAATACATTCACACTGTATAAACAGAAACAAATAAATAAATTAATAACAAAAGAATACATAGAAATAAGAATAAAATAAAATATTTTATATAATATTTATAAAGCCTCAATGAGACGTCAGCAGATATGAGGATATAGAGATAACACCTAAAGACTCTAATTCAATTACTTCACTGTCTGTAATAGTACACAGTAAATATCAACATGTTGAGGGGGTGAGAATTTTCATAGAGAATATTATTATAAACATTTTTACATAACTAGTTAGACTGTGAAAACATTGTATTTTTATTTTAAGATTGTGTAAACTAATAAATCAAAAATATTTTTTAGTTTTTTAACATTATTCATTTTTAGCCAGTAAAGTTATAGAAACGTACCAATGTTATGAAGGATGTCCCCTCCCTTCCATGTTTAATGGATACAAATTGTAATAAATCCAATTGTTTTGTTCAGATATTTTCAAGTATATCAATATGCATATAAAGTTCAAACTAAAGTTAAAAATCAATACGAGTAAATAATCGACCCATAATAACGAAAAACAACCTGAAATAAAACATCTGGAGAATACATTTTTCTTTCTAAAATTTTAATATATTTTTCTAAAACACTAAAACTATTACTTATTAAATTTTTTGAATAAGTTACTTAGAAAAGACACTTAATAGGCGGGAAAGCGGCGTTGGCATAGGCGCCTGGAGTCCTCCTCCATATCATTTAGTACTTATAAATGGTGTAACAATGTTATAATAATATAATAACGTTTTAGTACATTATTTTGATTTTATCAACAAATATTAGTACAATAATTTAATTGTCCAAAACAATTTTTTTTTTCTTTTTACTTCCTATATTCTTGTATAGCACTATGTCATTTATGACTACTGAATGATGCACCATGAATTGGCATAAATATGACATTAATAATAACAGGAAAACAATAATTTTTGATGACTAATTTCATTCAAATAAGTGGAAAACATTAAAAATAAAATTGTAAGGACTTTTTCGAATTTCAAATCATCAATTTCCTTTTAGCGATTTTTATTTGTATTTGACCAATAGATGGCGCTACTGTTGTGTGCTATTTGATGCACTTAAAATTATGGCTATAGTGAGTGGCCCTAACAGATTCCATTGAATGTTTTTGTTTTTATTTACTTATTTAGTTTACAAGAAAACTTAAACAAGGTTTCTCAGTTTAGTTTTAACCAGCCAGGATAAAAGATGTAATTATGCCCAGTTTCAAACAACCGTTGTTAAGGGAACATAAGGAACTTCCCATTTGAATTCATTGAAGTCAAGCAACACTGATCCAATCTCTAGAAATAATGAAGACAACTATCACATGTTATGGATATTCCGCCATTACTGAGGCTTTGATGATCTCGCAGATTTGAATTCACTTGGCTGGCCAGCAAGAACATTAAGACTTTTTTATTAGCATGGAGTAGTAAACCATAGCGGCTTAGCAAGGGGTCATGAAAGAAAGAGAAAGAAGCATAAAGGTTGACAAATAGAAGAAAGGAATAACAGCAAGTATAATCCGCAACCCACCTAAATTTAAATATTGTATCAATCCCCAACTTAGTTAGTATAAAGCAACCATTTCACCTTCCAGTTTATTTATAGTCTACTAACCCATTTAATTTTACAGTCCGTAGCAATAAAATAAGGATCAGCCCTATAGCATAATTATTAGGTCAATATCCCTGTCAGCCGTGGAAGGGTTTTTCTTAATAAAATAAACAACTGTTCTTGTCAGAAAATATTAAGATTGTTGTTGTTATATCAAATGAAAGAATTTTCATGGGAAATAGGGAAGGGGATAGGGTATCAACTTAACATACGTTGTAGTTTTTTTGTGCAAAAACTGATTTCTCGTTATACAAAAAAATATATATTTCCATATTTTTTATTTTATTTCACAGATTTTTTCTTTAAGTTCTTTACTTTTAAATAAATTATGTTATTTTTTTTGTTTAAAAAGCATTTGTTAAAAACTTAAAAGGAAAAATAAATTTTTACAGGATGATGCAATTTCTATGACCATGACTGTGTTTATATATATATATATATATATATATGCAACCTCTATGAGTTTTTTTGCAATGAGACCCTATATTAATTAATAATTAATTATATAGATTAACAATTTGAAAGCTGAAATTTATAATTTGTAAAATATAAACTTAAATACAATTTCTCTATGCAACTCAAACTACTATAAATAATGCATTGAGTTTAAAATGAATATAAGAAATGCTTTCGCTTATATAAAATATTTACATATTTATAGGACTAGTCTTTCATCGATGCTACTACTAGCCTACTGCTAGTACTAATCCGGATGGGAAACAAGTGAAGAGAGACATTTCTTCCTAATATATACTTCTAATACCTCTAGTAATAGGTTTTTGAGTTAATTAAATGTTTTTAAATCCCAACAACTTTTGCAGAGCATCAGTTCTTCATTTATATGGTGAAATGTTGATACATCTCATTATACAGGATGTTTCAGTTTTTCATGGCCAAACTCTGGGGGGTGATTAGAGTCAAAGTTTTCAACAAAAAATTTCATGAATAGATAAAACACATCTTCTTTTGGGATCCACATTCGTCCACCATATAGTTTCTTCAGTCTCGCTTTTAGAGTGTCCTAGGAACAAGTTAGATCACCTTCGATAGCGTATAACACTCGTCAGACTCCATTAACGTGCCTTGGTGCTGCCTGGATACTATCAAGGTTTTAACTTGTCTGCTCCCTTTATAAAACGTTCAAGGTCCTCTACTACTCCGGTAATGGATTCCAACTGACCGATTACCTCGGTTATGAATATTTTATTTATCCTAAACAAACTAATTTAAAATAATTTTGTTAATCGAAAAAAAAGAGAACATAGATTTATACGATTTAATGAGTGTATGTCGACTTTTTTTCTGCCTTCAACCATGTTCATATTTACAGATGTGAATACAAATAAAAATATTTGTATTCACTTTAGTAAATACCAATATCTATGTTTATACCGTTTTATTTGAATACAAATATATTCAAATTTATAATCATAGGGAACCATCTTTATGAATACATGTTGTATTCATATTTATGAATACAGATATGTCCAACTCTGGTCTTAAGTTAGATTAGATAAGACTGTTCTATCTCCCTAAATTGGATTTCAACTTTTTGTTAATACAATCAATATCCACACAATGCAATTTCTCATTTTCTTCCTAGATTTAAGACATCATATTGCATTGGGAGGTATGAGCCTTTACTGAGATTCCTAATATATACATGATATCAACAATTAATTGTTTTTATTGGATATAATTTAGGTTTTTTTAAGGATATCAATCAATGAATGTAATCAACAAACTTTAAAATGTGGTGTCAATCAAATGACTCAATAGTTGTTTTATTTTTTTTTCTTTAGTTAATGTAATAGTTGCTGTACATGTATTTCGAAAATTAAATTTTTTTCAGGAAGGACTCAGTTCAAACTGGTTATACCGAAGGGGATGCGCCACAGCCCTTTGAGAGGTGAGACTTGGCAACTCAGGACCTCATAAACTAATAAAAAAAATGACTTTTAATACTTTATTCCAAAACCTTTTAAATCCCTTCCAAAAATAAATAAAATAATAAAAATTAAATAACTATTTGGTATTAATGCCACTTTTTTTTTTTACTTTACATTAATAATTCATATTTGAAATCTGATGTCTTGATCATTTAATATTGAAGAAAACAAATGAATTCAACAATTTTTTTCACACTAATTTTAGAGTAAAAAAAATTTAAATCCATAATTTACAGCTTCTTTTATTAGCCAGATTTAAAATTGAATGCAATTTTAACTACATTTAAGGCATTTGTTCTTTATATTACTAATTTTAAAAAAAATAAGGCAAATATACCTGACATTAATAAATCAGTAGTACACATGTAAACATCTGTTCAGTAGCTTATAGCTAACACCTTCCCTATTTAAGTATTGAATTTGAATAGAATAATTATAATGCATAATGTTTGGAAGATAGGTTTGTTATTGCATGTTTTAGATACGTTATTACAAAAATGAGGTCCTGCAGTTTTGCCAGAACCCGGTTTTGTGCTGGAATATAGAAACAATAAATACATAACTATTCCCCAGATTCGACTGATACAAAATTGTCCACGTATATTTTATGCATCTATCCTAGTATTGAAAAACAATTGTACTCAACAACAGTTTGTGTTTGTTACCTGTTTCCTTCTGTATTATATCATTTTATGTGTGTTAGTTTTGACCTATTATATCTATATTTTTACCAAATCAATCTTTTAATTAAAATATATTTTACTAAATCTAGTAAGGTATTTTTTTTTTGTGTTTCAGAGGAAGAAATTTATGGTGATGATGAGTTGCGGTGACCACCAATTATTGTTCACTAAAGTTTTGTAACATAAGTGCAAATATAAATTATTATAAGATTATTTTCTTCTTATTCCACACCATCAAGTCCTATGTTGTTTGTTTAAATTTAGTTTTTCTTAAAGCTACTTAACTTTTGTTCAATAGGGGGAAAAAAGTTTATGGAAAATGAAATATCCCTTTTGGTTTAACAACCCTCCTTACTTAGCCGAACAATTTTACACTCCCAATTTTTTTTTCACAAACAATAAAATAAAATGTTGGAAAAAGTAATGAAAGAGTTCCTAAAAGATTAAAAATTTGCTGTGCCAACTGGGGCAGATCGAAGAGAAGGTGGGAAAAGTTTGCCAAGGCTGATCTGGTGGGGCTGGGTTTAGAAGGCTACCAGTGGATGAAGGTGTGTAGACAGAGATTGGTGACCTCGAAACCTCGAAGGTCCGCATCGAACCTTCGAGTTCGCTAAGCCTTTTATTATTAGGGTTTAACCTACTTAAGACATTTAATGTACACCAGCTATTGACCAGCTTTCTGTAATAGTACAGACAATGAATGGCCAAAAAAAGATGTATAGAGTGCGTGAGCAGGTACCTGAGCGACTCCTAAAACTTCTTCAGGGTGCTTAGGGTGTCAACTTATCAAAAGTCCTGGGTCTATGTGGTGAGCCAGAGGAGAGGGGGAAGGAAAGGTACCAATTTTGGGATTTTCGCATATATCTCGAAAACTGTGCGTCGCAAGAGAAAATTTGCTGTTAATAAACGAAACTTTATAAAATTATCTATAATTTTCTTTCTATAGATTTTTTTCGAATTCTTAACCGTTTTCGAGCTACACGCTCAGAAATGTTAAATTTTTTTTCATTTAAAAAAAATCATTTTCCCTCAAATTTTTAATAAAAAATTCCTCCATATTGCCCAACCTATTCGTCAGCAAAATAAATTCATTTGAAATAGTTGTAGAGACTTGAATTCCCTATTTGAATATAAATTAATCTCCAACTAGTCTACAGTTACAGCTATTTTAAAACATTTCGCGTTTTCAGAAAAAGTTGTTTTTATAATGTTCTTGACTCACAACTTTTGTTCTTTTGTCTAATAAAATGTATGGTCACTCACACACACGCAGATGCGACAGGTTGTGTTTTCAGGTCGACTCCAAGAATTTAGTCGGGCATCAGGGCAGCTATGAAGATAAAGCCGAGGATTTCGCTAAATACCTTTCCTTTGCATTCACCTCTCATTCGGAATCCTACTACCTCCACACCACAGTAGTAGAGGAATTCCTTAATTCATCCACCCCACTCTCCTTCCCGACTAAAGCAGTTAATCCTTCTGAGGTCAAACACCCCTTTCAAAACTACCAACCCATAAGTCAACTGGATACGACCTCCTTACTTTTCAGATCTTTCGACAACTCCCTCCTAAAGCTGTTATATTCCTTATATACATATACAATAGCATCCTACGAACCACTCACTTTCCTCTTTTATGGAAACATTCCAATATTATCTTATTTCAAAAACCAGGAAAAGTTTCCAACAGCTTAACTACCTTACAGATCAATTAGCCTACTTCCAATACTTTCAAAAATCATTAAGAACATCCTCCGGAAACGAATCCTAACATTTAAAGAATCTAAAAATCTTCCTTCACATCACTTTGGATTTCGTTCGCAACACTCCACAGTCTAACAAGAACTTCGAGTGGTCGATCATATTTCCGCAGCCCTGGAAAACAACTGGTTGCGTTTGTAGGCATAGCTAAACATTTTGACCAATGTTCATTGATCAAGCCATCCAATGAAGTATGGCACGCCGGGCTTCTTTTCAAAATTAAAAACTATCTGCCTCAGACTTTATACCTTGTCCTCCGCTTATTAACTCTCTGATCGCGCCTTTCGAGTTTGCTGTGGCACACAATTTTTTAATTGCTACCCAGTTAATGCTGATGTTTCTCAAGGTAGAGTTTTGGGTCCCGTTTTTTACATCCTGTTTACCGCTGATATCCCTGTCCATCCCGATACCTTCCTAGCAACATTTGCTGATGACACCGCCATTCTATCATCCAACACAGTTCCTGATAGAGCATCCTTAAATCTTCAAAGACACCTCTCCCTAATTAAGCAATGGTTTAATAAATGGCGCATTAAAGTGAACGAATCCAAATACAAAATACATACAATTACCGTTACACTCCGGCGCACATCGTGTCCACCAGTCCACTTTAATTTCACCCAGCTTCCTTTTTCTCAGTAAGGTATCTTGGCATTGTCTTAGACCGAGGACTAACGTGGAAAGCACATACTACACTTAAAATACAAGGACTTAACCGAGGATGTGGCCAACTATAGAGACTAATTAATAGAAAATATAAACTTTCTATTGAAAACAAATTTCTGTTCTACAAAAAAATACTGAAATCTATCTGAACTTATACTTGTTATAATACTGGTCTTGAACTGTGGGGGATAGAAAAATTATCTAACATGAAACGTATCCAATCCTTCCAGTCCAATTTACTTCGAACAATAGTCGATGCTCCTTTCTATGTAACCAACAAAACCTTACGCCATGACCTTAATATCCCATTTGTCTTAGACCTTATGCCAGAAAATTTTTCCAAATGTCACCAGAACCTTACCTATCACATAAATCCCCTTGCACTATCAATATCCAGCACAACCCATCCCTATAATCCTCGAAAAAGCCTAAAACGGCCGTGGCCTCGCGACCTTTTATAGTTTGTAAATCTTGGAGTTCTGGCCAGATTCTCCACTCACGACATGAGTGTTCGTGGCTAAAGCGCTAGAGGGTAGTGCAGGGATTTCCTGGACAATAATTATAGTGAGATATGAACACATTCACACCATATGTACAGAAAACATAAAACTAACAAAAGTAAAATAATAACTAAATAATAATCACACAACTATATACAATAAAAAATAAAATAACCTAAAGATAAGTAAATTAAAAACTCAGTCATACATATATACAATATATACAATCAGGTAAGGAAACCCAAGCCAGGTTTGTCCCTCCAACTATAGAGAGAAAATAAGAACTCCAAGAGATCCCTGCGCTACTCTCTCAAACGCGTCACTGGTGCTAAAGCCAGTGGATATTAAGCGAGAGTGGTTTAGTCACATACACTCATGTCTCGAGTGCAGAAACTGGCCATTGTCAGAACTCCAAGATGTATACTACAAAAGATCTCTGGGGATTGTATGGATGAGTGGAACTAGATAGTGATTTTGCTAGCGGAATTTAGATGATTTGTAAGGTTATGATGGAATTTGGAAAAATTTTCAGAGATGAGGTCAAGGAAAAATGGAATATTAAGGTCATGATGTAGGGTTTTGTTGGACGGAGCATCAACTATTGTTCGGAGGACTTTGGTCTGAAGGGATTGGATGCGTTTGATGTTAGAAAATTTAGCTACCTCCCAAAGTTCAAGTCTGTAGGTCCAAATAGGTTTCTGGATTGTATTGTATATCAGTAATTTGTTTTCAGTTGGAAAGTTGAGATTTTCTATTCAGTAGTCTGTATAATTGGCCTTATCGTCTGTTAAGTTCTTGTCTTTTAAGTCTAGTATGTGGGTTCCACTTTAGTCTTCGGTCTAAGAGAAAGCTAAGATACCGGACTGAAAAATGAAGCTGGGTGGAATTAAAGAGGACTGATGGACAGGATTTGGGCCGGGGAGTGAAGGTAATGTGTTTGCATTTGGATTCGTTTACTTTGATGCGCCATTTATTACACCTATGCTCAATCAGGGAGAGGTGTCTTTACAGATTTAAAGATGCTATTTCGGGATCTGAGTTGGATGATAGGATGGCAGTATTATCAGCAAATGTTGCCAGAAAGATATCGGGATGTACAACGTTTAAAACAATGAAACCTACCGATTGCTTCAATTATTTTCGTGAAAGCGTAACTATTAGGGATAGAAACATTAAGTTTATCACTTGTAAATACGCATCAATTCCTATGACATAAATCTCGGAGAAAAACATAAATTCATAACCAACTTATATCAAATATATTTTAAAAAAACATTATTCGTAATATTTATAAATAAGATGGTGTTTAGGCAATTATATGTATTACAATACATCCCATATCACAGAAAAACAAGAAATAAAAGCTTTACAACAGTTTATTGTATTCTTTTTTGCAGGAAACATGGGTACCTTAATGTGACTGGACAGGAAATCAAATAATTTCTTTACACAACTTGAAGTGAATCTCAATTATTTTTTCATGTATACCTCAACATAATCAATATGGATTTAAAGTTTACTAAGCGAGGAATTTTTTGTAAAAGTGGAGTAAATGTAGTACTCTTAAAGTGTGATAAAAAAACAAACGCATAATTTATGACTTTTTTAAAACGGAACTTAGCTGTGTTTGTCCGCCCAATAGTCCTCATTAACTAGTTTTAACAATGACAAACTCTACTTCTATTTAAAGTAAATTTTGTCTAGCTTGCAATAGAAAAATGTTTAATAACTTAAATAAATATTTTTTATATTATCGCTTCCTATTTAACATATCCTACTTTTCAGCATAAAATTATGCAATTGTTATATGAACTTTTTTGTAGATCTTGATGCCTGCTATCAACCTTTTAAATATTTCCCTCTACTTACGCTCTACTTTCCGCAAAAGCTTTGTTTAGGAGATATCCACACCTTACTATTTTCATTATAATGAATTATTTACGTTATATTAAGTAAATAAAATTTATTTATTTGTTCCAACTACTTTATTAATTAACCGTAAACATTAAATTCATATTAAATGTTGTTCAAAGTGATTTTCTTAAGACAGGCTCGGTATCTTTCTTCAACAGCAGCAGTGGCAGAACGGCACTGGACAAGTGTTATTGTTTCACAAAATTCAATTATCCTTCTTCGTAAGGAATTAAGGTCATTGACCGGCATAGACTTTTTGTTTAATGTCACCCCCAAAAGAAAATTTCCAGTTGCGTCAGGTCTGGAGAGA